GGCTCTGCTCCCTGGGTGCGTCCCTGATGCCCGGAGGCTCCTCTGGACATGCTGGGCAGAAATGCAAAGAGGCACGGTCGTGCAGAGCATCCCTGGCAGACGTGCAATGGCCCTGGGCGCCCCTCGGAAGCAGCTCTGTGCCTGCATCCTCCTGCAGAGATGCAGTCTGCAACTCCAAAGGCAAGAAGAGATGGTCTGACAAGGACGGCAGCGCGGTGACAGTGCAGAGATAAGGCAGAAAATGAAAATGATGAAGCTGTGACTCCACAAATCTGGGTCACTGTCACACTGGGGGAGAATCTTGATTCTTGTCTTGAGATGTTCCATGATAAAGAGCATATCCTGAAAATTCTGGGAATGAGGTGAATAAAAACAACACGATGAAATGAATTCCTTGACAATAATAACAAAAAAAATTTAAAAATATGGATGAAACATTTTTCCAGTTAAAAATGCAGCTTTTTTTTTTTTTTTTTTTTGAGCAACATTCAGATGGGCAAAATAAAGAAAAGCAACCTTTTGGAAAAATTATAGTTCAGCTAACCCTTAATTAAAATTTAGATTCAGTTGTCCTTTAATAAAAGCAGCCATCATTGTAATTTGTTTGGGGGGAAAATCATTGCAAAGCAAATTAATCTGATTTCGGCATGACACAAAAGAGGACGATAAATGAAAATGCAGAGTAATAAACCAAAATGAATGGGGGGGAAAAAAATGGGGGGAAACGTAGCAGATGGGTCCAAAGGACAGACTTTAAAAATCAATTTGGGAAAAAAAAAATTAAGAAAGAAGAAGAAAAAAAAAGAACGAAAAATAAAGAGAATAAAGAAAACAGACGGATTTGGCAAGCATATGTTAGAAGGAAGATACTTCACACACCAGAGAGTCTTGTGCGTCTCTGTGGGACGGCTTTGCAAGGGCAGTGCCCGCCCTGGGCTCAGCAGGTTTGGGGTCGCTCTTCCAGCCCCCCTGCAGCTCCCGGTTGTCCGAACGGTCCCTGCGGCCCCTGGGAGCCTCGGGCCCCGCCAGCGGGGCTCCCGGCTCCCCGAAATCCTCCTCGATGCTGCTCTGCCGCGTCAGGGTCCTCCTGCGGGCCAGAGCGGGCCGGGAGCGCTCCTGGTCACCGACCCTTGGGGGTCCAGCGCTGTGCC